AGGATCCATTTTATACGTATGCTTTGTTTTTTTCTATTTTCTTTTTATCTTTTTTTGGTGGTATTTTTCATTTTTAATTATTTACCAGAAAGATAACGTTGAAAAAAAAGTGGCATCGATCGATTGATCGATCGGGTAAGAAGTTTCGACGATGAACACACACGGTCGATGGTTAACAATAAAATGGCGGTATTCTTGAGTTTTACCTTTAAAAATGTGATGCTACGTGACTTTACAGATATGTTCAGTATTTTAAATTTACTTTTACATACGTATATATATATACATATATATTTTATGTATATTAGATTCACTTTTACTCTGCAGTGACAACAGTTGTGGCTAGTACATTTATATATCTTCGAATATTAATTAGTTTAGCTTTCCATTTGTTCTAACATCATTTTCTTATTTTCTTTTTTTTTCTTAACAATCACTTCGCTACACTGTTTTTCGAAAGTGATACTTGTGCCGTGCATTACGTTCTCGACCATGTTATACATTTATATATACACACATGTCGGTTTCTTTTTTTTCCTATTCAGTTTAATCGAAGTTACAACGTCGATTTCTCGGACACTCGATTCGATTTTTCACGATCGATCCGTACAAATAACGAGAACGGTCGAAAAATAGGGATACTTCGAGATAATTCGAGATCATATGTAGAGATAGAATAAAGATCTTGAATCTTCGAAATTCTTCAATTTTTTTTTTATTAGTATCATTATTTAAACGTTAAGAATCATGTTTTATAGTTAAGCTCGGTTGCATTATAAAATATCAACTATTTTTCTATGTAGTATCTTACAAGAAAAGCTACAAGAAGTTTGTGTTCGACGTTTTATTTTTTTTTTCCTTTTTTTTCTCTTTCTTTTTAAGCGATAAATAAATAAAACTTACTTAGGAAAAATCTTATTTCCTATTTGTCGAGATATCTGACTAAAACCCGCGTCGGCGCGATACGTTTTTTCCAGTTCACAATTTTATTTCGAAATAGATCGATCGTTTCGTAAGGTTTCGAACGAAAAGGATCTCTTGTTAAAAATCGATTGGTTCCCAACAGTTCACAACGATTCGTTTCAAAGGCACGAAAGGTTAATAAATCGATTCGTTAACTAAACTCTTTTATATATTTACAACACTTCTTTTTGTTATATATATATTTCTATTCTAAAAAAAAAACATCGAAGTATCAGTGTCGTTCGAATACGTCGAAAAATTTCGAATATCTCGGCTAGGGGAATCACCCAATTGCTTCGATGTTTCAACGGTCGTCCGCGACGCGATGATGGCGCCACCGTGACGAAACGTTTGAAAAGAACTTCGAACATTTAGACACTCTCAAGTACGTATATAAAAAATCGTTCCGTCATTCAAAACGATTAATTCTCTATAAAATCGTCGAATATCTGACTATTCGAAATTGCAGGAAATTCTCGAGTAGTTTTCTGCGAAGAAGATGAAGATGAAGAAGAGTACGAGAATTTGAAAAATCGAAACGAGCATCCATTTTGAGTTTCGCACGCGGCCAATAAAAACGATTCTCGATAACGGTCTTGTTCAACAACTTTGCTCCCGTACAAAAAGGCTCTAAATCTGGTTTCTCTACATTTTTTTTTTTTTCTTTTGTCTTCTTTCTTTTTACTCCTGTATGTCCTATAGTTTAATGCATACGACAACATTTTCTAAATGATGGTCCATTTCGTTTCACAGCGTTCCAACAACTTCAATAATAGTCTCTGAGTTTTCAACTACTACATAATCGCCGACGCTTTTTACGTATTTGCGATAGAATATTTTTCGTTCGGCTCTTGCTATAAGGCACAACCGTTCGATCAATATTAGAGAGTGTAAAATTTCTTTTTTTCTATTTAAATTAATTTCCAACTTAATTAGTTAGAAGTTACATAAACTTCAAGCGTAAATTGGAAAATTGCTATTATCATAGTAAATTGACAAATATATAACATTATATATAATATATGACACTTAATAAATACGTAAATAATCTTTGATCAACAAGTTAGAATCGACGTAATAGTTTAACAAGAGGACCAAACATACCACTTAAAATGGTACTAGCTCCATATTGACATCTCGATTGTGCCCAAAACAAGACAGATACGCATCGAATTTGCTCGCGCGTTTGTGTGTGTGTGTGTAACTTACGCATACTTCATCATCATATTAAAAATATACATTAAAATGGTACGCATAATCGTGTCGTTAACGTACACCATTTAACAAGTTCCCTACCTTAAGAGGTACCACTACGTATTTCTTATTTTTCACGTGGGTGTCTTACAGTAAAATAGATCGGTAAGCAAATCGTAATCCTTGTCTTGTTACGTGACCATGAGTACCGGTGGATCAGGTCAGAACGATTTCTCTCAGGCAGTTTAGTGTTAAAAATACGTCTAATGATCAACTAGACGAAAGGTTAACTATATATATTCACATGTTGCAAAGGGATATTATATGCTTCATAACTTTGTATAAATTGAATTTTGGATTTTGTGCATTGAGCGAGGAAATGTTAAATGAATTCATGTTATTGATTTTTGTAAGTTTGAGATAATGTGTTCTTGATGCAGCATCTATTAATTTAATATCTTATACTCATTTACTATATCAAAGTATAAAATAAAGAAAAGACTTTATTTCGATCAAATTAAATAAAATCTTACGTAGTCATTTAGTGAAATATAAAAAAATTATCTGTAAGAAATTATACTTAAAGTATTCAACTTTATGTTGCTACAAGTAGTCTCAAACTTATAATTAATGGTTACTTCTTGTGCCAAACTCATTTATTGAACCCTTATGAGGCTTCAAGTATCATTATTCTTATTGATTACAGATATGAAAAAGTTTGTGCAAATTACTTTGTCTTATACAAATAGATGAAGCACATAACACTGGTTTTTGAAACACTGCCGAGAAATGGTCGTACAATATTGAGTAATTGATAATATAATTGGGGGTAATTATATTATTCAATGATCCACCTGTAGCGACTTAAGAACTGGAACCAATGCAATTGTATCGCAGATTATCTTTCAAGGATTTACTTCAGGCATGTACACTTAAGTTCAGAGAGATATATGTAATATATATATATATATCGATATATATATATGTATATATATCGTTCAAATACAATAAATTTTGCGTCAATAGGAAAATGTTTAATAACTAGTGGAGACATATATATATACTTTTTTTTTTAATACATTAAATCTTACTTTTTTCGTTATGAAAAATAACAATTTCTTTATACTTTTTTTTTCTTTGATAAAAAAGTGTGTTGGCTAAGAGATTGCACTTTGTGATCATCTTAAAAATTTGTGATTAATCATAATCATTAGTGACTATACATTATATATCTTATGTTTCGCACACCGATTGTTCGTACAGTCATCAGATACGTTTCTAATTGCAACGTTAGTAAAGAAACAAATTAATATCGAAGATCATACAACTCTTCTTCCTATCCCTTCTTTAACATACGTATAATATGATCTTCGGTTACAATATGACCAAGATTGACTTGCCAGGTTGTCCATTTGTCAACAGAATGTTACAAGAAGTTTGCGACTCCATTAATTTGTAATATAAATACAATAATTCCATTTTATAGTACCGTCCTCTCTCCTTCTAACTCTGTTCAACATTTTTATTCTATTATCTTTTAAACCACCCTTTTGTATCTTTTCGCACGATACAAGGTTTTCTTTACGTCGTCGACGAGTTATCTTATGCAGACAACATGAGCAAGTCAACTTGAAGGAGGGCCACAAATGGTGCCAGGCACTATTTATTCATATACCGTTTGTGTATTCCATTAATTATGTTAATTAATTACAGTAATGTACCAAATACGACTCTTGAGAGCAGCTCACACCAGGATACATCCTGAGATTGAGTAAAGCATAGGCTGAGACCATCTCGAAAACGGTTTGACTTAGGAAGAAAACTTTTTGTATTTTACAATTGCAACCCTATCTTGCCAACTAATTATGAATTCCACTAATAAAGCATTTAACAAGGTGTACTAATAAATGTCACTAATTTATATATTTTGTATTTAATTTAATTGTGATTCACTGTTACTGAAGAACTGTGTGCAATTAATTCGACTTAAATGCTATTCAAATAAATTTTCTAATTATCATAGATCATTATTTGAATAATAAATATTCGCAGACGTGCAAGTTGTCGTTGTGTCTGATTTAGGCGTTAAGGGTTGCAAAGTTTCTTCCTTCCGTATTACCTTCTTTTTTCTTCATATCAAATGTGCAAAATATTTGTGGAAAATGTATATAACGTATGTATATTTGTATACATATGCGAGTTCGTGTGTATATACTTTTCATTTTTCTTTGAATAATCAACTCTATATTAGATGCTTATTTCACATATAATATGCATATATCTCGTCTATTACCTTGTAATAATCAATATATTAATTTCCGATCATTTTACAGAATTTTTTTTTTCTTACAGAATATCGTAATTATTTTGAGTACAGTAGCCGATTAATCATTTAACGCTTTTTTATTAGCGGACATAGACCGTTAATTAGTTCGCTAAAAAAAGAAGAAAAAAAAATACTCCACTATTTAAAACATACCGACAGACACCTAAAGGATTCGTCAAAACAAAGTTAGACGATCTAAAACACATAAGTGTATGTGTACATTTTCTAATAAAATATTGTATGATCTTTTGATCGTTTAAAGTAAGGGTATGGATTTTTGGAGCAAAACAAAGAGACATTGCAATTACAAAAAAAAAAAAATATGTAGGATTAAAATTTACATACTAATCGAATATCATTATTCTCTGACTAGGCATTCAATTAAGAAAGAAATTATGTTCATTGCTTTCGGCATTCATTACGCAAAAACGTCAATTAACGGATTATGCCGCGGTTTTGCCTATCTACCGTCATAACGCACAAAAAAAAAAAAAAAAAAAAAAAAAAAAAAAAAAAAAAAAAACAAGTAACAAAGTACAATTAGTTGTAAATCTCTAAACCGTAAAATCATTAGACGTTCGCAAGCTCTTAAAAATTCGGTTGTCTATGCACTTATCTTCCGAAATGCCATGCTTTCGGTTCACATTTCTAAATATCCATCCTAAACGTACCGCCATTTCCTTCCTCTACTCCGAAAGGAATAACCTTCGCCATAGCGACAAGTATCAAAGACACAATATGCCATATCACGAAGAAAATGACAATGAATTAATGACATATATACAAACAACTTTCGTATTATATACATGAAAATATATATATATATATATATATGTATACATCATATATATATAATATAATATATATATACGTGTAACGCTTCAACATTATGGCACCGTTATTTAATCGTCAAACAAACGTATTTTGTGTGTTCATGTACGTGTCTATGTGTATGTATGTATGTGTATGTGTGTGTGTGGACTTTAAAATATAAACAAATTTGTGTTCTCCGTCCAGCCAAGTCGGACTCCGCGAGGATCGTTCTTCGTCTCACGCACCCAACCACAAGAAAAAAAAGAATCATGGCCGAACGTATGTAAATAACTAACGAGTCTTAGACTTCGAGTCCCGGAACTTCTCACAAAAGCACTATACGCCGTTGTACGTAGAGGTATGAAACGATCGAGCGATTAATTGTTACGACTGACATTAAGTCGCCCAGCCCTCGGTGATCCTGGAACGCTTCATCAGCGGTCCGTTCTCATAGTCTGAGTTGTTCCCACCATTTCCCCCGGCGTTCGAGTGACTCGTTCGAATATCTGCCACCGTAGCGCTACCTGGCGATGGAAGATTCGTCGGTGTTATACTTCCAGAGTGAGATGGCGGTGGATTACTACTCGGTCTGCTCGATACAAGATTCAAGGATTGTGGTCCGGGGTGAGGTACGTGGTGTGGAGGAGGTGCACCGGTACTGGACGAAGGTCCAACGTTCAGAGTTGTGTGATGAAGATTACTGGTATTGCTCGGCCCGCTGCTCGAGCCACTATTGCCACCATGAGGATCCCGGGGTGGACTGATCGGTTCACTTTTTATTTTCACTGGTAATGGCGACGTAGCCGGCGGCGGTGTACTGCTCGATACGGCTAGATGAGGAAGACCACTGTAATCAGATAATGTTGGGGATATTAAGACTTAAGTACTAGGTTTCGTTCATTTTATAAAAAAATTAATATATTAATTGCCCTTTAAATTGCAGCTGCTCTGATGAAAGTATAAATTGCTAACATATATACGATAAGTATACAATAATTTAGATGATGATGTACTTTAAGCTACAATATATATGAATTGTAATTTTTATACATATTTGTACTTCTTTTTCTCTAGGTACGGTTCAATAAACTAATATTATAATAATAAATAGTTGTGGAACTCATACTAGCATCAGATATACAACAAAATATGCAAGAAAATTGTCAATGTGTTAAATATAATTAAACAGGCATAACATTTATTATTAAAGCTCATCATCCCGCAACAGATGAAGCCTTATATAGATGTAGTATATTTAGTAATAATGAGCAAGTTATTAGTTGATTTAAAAATTATCAAGACAAAATAAATAAAATATTTGTCTTGTTTTTTTTTTTTAAATATGAAAGTTTTAGTTGACTCGATACGAATGAATGAACATGAGCTAAAGTCCGGTTAACGGAATAGATTTAAACTGCGATAGAAAAATTACATATATGCAATTTACTGACATGCTATGAACAACTATTCAAGCAAGAAAAGAACTATAAAACTGCAGTGTATGGTGTCCGATAAATTTATCCTCGACTTGGATAAATATAGAAGAAATGTTATTAGAACGAGTGTCATGGTTGCAAGCGTGATTAAACTTTACAAATAATCTTCAATCTTTTCTTGTAAAAGGATTTACATTATGCATTATGGATTTGTTCCTAAATACAATTTTAGTTTGGTATACTGATGACAAACACGCAAACTAGCAAGATGTAACTGAAAATTTTAAAGCAATTTTAAGTAATACCATATCTTATACAAACTGGATATATAGTTTTCTTTTACAACAATAATTATGAAATATGATTTACCTGATGCTGGACATGGTGGCTGCCGAATACATTGATAAGTCATCAACGTACCTCTGATGAGACCATGCTAAGCTCCCGAGGTCTGAGGAATAATCCGTTGGTCCGAAACTAGAGTATCCGGCTGGAACTGATGGCGTTTGTAGTGCTACTACAGGTGTATTCAATGCGGATTGTGCATGGCCACTCTGTGTATTAGAAAAGAAAACAGCAAATCGATTAAAATTAAATTTGCCTGAAGGTAAGTGTTATATACATATCATTGAAATGAAGCACAGCGTGTACTAACATCGTAACTAGTGTCTTCAGAGAGAGGTTGTGTAAGGGGTGTTGGAATAACTACTCGAAGATTAGTCCTGTGAGGATGAGTCGGCGGTGGAGGTGGCGGAGGTTGTGGCGAATGCCTAGATGGATTACTGCCTTTATTTGCACTGCCTCCTCCGACTCCTAGTGACGGCGAAGGTCCTGGACTAGGCGAACCTCCTAATGGTGATGCCGATGGTGGATAACCGTTGCTCATTTCCAACATCCCTCCTGGTGGATACACTGAATAAAAAGGTAAAATAATTAACTCTTATAGCTTTAATGAATTATTAACACAATAAAGAAATAATCTTTTGTAATGAACAAGAATTTCACTCTTTTATTTTACTCTTTGGCGTGTTAATTCAGCGCATATTTTCTCTGGAGCTTTTCCATTTTTCGAGGAAGCAGTATTTACCTGATAAATTAGATCAGTGTGTAAAGTCTACGAATGAATTACATACCTGAGTCTGTTTCAGAAGATGACGGTCTTGGAGAAATGCTGGTGTGCGCCATTTGAGGACTAGATCCAAGTAGAGATTCGCCATAACTATTCACTGGTACGGATACAGGTAGAGTGTAATTAGATTGTCCCATTGCCTGAAATTGCAGTAAATCAACGATGACTCCATTAATACAACGTTCACGTATAATACACTTCAAGAGAATTGACAAATCTGATAAGGTCTTCGTTTCGAGATTACATCTTCGTTATTCCCTTGCTCATTTCTGCTAGATAAAATTCAAAAATAAAAATAAAAAATATATATATATGTAAATATACAAAACACACGACCAAACAATATAAATGCAAAAGAAAATTCGTCTACATTGTCGTTCTAAATAAAAATACAATCTTTACGTACATTTTTTCGACTAACTAAACTACGAGAATCTTTATATAGCAATTAGAAAAAAGCAGTCCCGGATATATATTTTTGCATTTAATTTAAAAACGCAAAATTCGAGGTTCCTTTAGTTCTGAAGAACACGAGCAGCCTCATTGCTTACTTCGCTTACCAAAATAATTATGAATGCCACATTAACTGTTGCCATATGAAGCTCGATACAATGTACACACGAAGCCGAGAAAAAGGAACAAGAAAAACAGATTAACAACTAACCAGGGATACTCTGATTGAAATATTTGACAGAGTTTTAGAGGAACGAGCTGCGTGTTTTGTAAACTTGTAGCTCACGTTGCGATAATAAATTAAACGGTGCGAATTAAATCGAACCGCGTCATTGACAAATTGCTTGATGGCGGATTGTTAAAAGCTAATAAATATAACCAGGACTAACGAATTGCTCTCAGTCATGTGAAAACTTTGAACCAGAGGTTCCCAAAGTGAACTACCACAGCCGGCTATTGTAAACTTCATAAGTTTGGAAGAACAATAACGATAACGAAGAACAAGTACACTTTTGCATATTACACGGTAATTCATAATGGAAATACTGTGAGAGTACTTAAGTAATTCTTCCTTTCAGTCATCCTCGAGAATAATGAAATTTTACAAATGCAAAATTATAAAGATTGGATTTCTATCAGTCAATATGCAAATTATGGACTGCAATGAATCTAAATGAACAAAAGGTAACATACAAGACTGCAATATACTACTACACCTATAACATTAAATAACATTATAAAAATAATTATGTACAAATTATAGTAGAAAGGAGGATAAAGAGAATTAATATCGATCTATAAAATCATGTGCTCTCATTCCTGAAAATAACTTGAATCAGAAAGGAGAAGATCCGAATCCTGCAATAGAAAGAAATCCTAGACAAAATATCACTGAATAAAAAGGTAAAATAATTAACTCTTATAGCTTTAATGAATTATTAACACAATAAAGAAATAATCTTTTGTAATGAACAAGAATTTCACTCTTTTATTTTACTCTTTGGCGTGTTAATTCAGCGCATATTTTCTCTGGAGCTTTTCCATTTTTCGAGGAAGCAGTATTTACCTGATAAATTAGATCAGTGTGTAAAGTCTACGAATGAATTACATACCTGAGTCTGTTTCAGAAGATGACGGTCTTGGAGAAATGCTGGTGTGCGCCATTTGAGGACTAGATCCAAGTAGAGATTCGCCATAACTATTCACTGGTACGGATACAGGTAGAGTGTAATTAGATTGTCCCATTGCCTGAAATTGCAGTAAATCAACGATGACTCCATTAATACAACGTTCACGTATAATACACTTCAAGAGAATTGACAAATCTGATAAGGTCTTCGTTTCGAGATTACATCTTCGTTATTCCCTTGCTCATTTCTGCTAGATAAAATTCAAAAATAAAAATAAAAAATATATATATATGTAAATATACAAAACACACGACCAAACAATATAAATGCAAAAGAAAATTCGTCTACATTGTCGTTCTAAATAAAAATACAATCTTTACGTACATTTTTTCGACTAACTAAACTACGAGAATCTTTATATAGCAATTAGAAAAAAGCAGTCCCGGATATATATTTTTGCATTTAATTTAAAAACGCAAAATTCGAGGTTCCTTTAGTTCTGAAGAACACGAGCAGCCTCATTGCTTACTTCGCTTACCAAAATAATTATGAATGCCACATTAACTGTTGCCATATGAAGCTCGATACAATGTACACACGAAGCCGAGAAAAAGGAACAAGAAAAACAGATTAACAACTAACCAGGGATACTCTGATTGAAATATTTGACAGAGTTTTAGAGGAACGAGCTGCGTGTTTTGTAAACTTGTAGCTCACGTTGCGATAATAAATTAAACGGTGCGAATTAAATCGAACCGCGTCATTGACAAATTGCTTGATGGCGGATTGTTAAAAGCTAATAAATATAACCAGGACTAACGAATTGCTCTCAGTCATGTGAAAACTTTGAACCAGAGGTTCCCAAAGTGAACTACCACAGCCGGCTATTGTAAACTTCATAAGTTTGGAAGAACAATAACGATAACGAAGAACAAGTACACTTTTGCATATTACACGGTAATTCATAATGGAAATACTGTGAGAGTACTTAAGTAATTCTTCCTTTCAGTCATCCTCGAGAATAATGAAATTTTACAAATGCAAAATTATAAAGATTGGATTTCTATCAGTCAATATGCAAATTATGGACTGCAATGAATCTAAATGAACAAAAGGTAACATACAAGACTGCAATATACTACTACACCTATAACATTAAATAACATTATAAAAATAATTATGTACAAATTATAGTAGAAAGGAGGATAAAGAGAATTAATATCGATCTATAAAATCATGTGCTCTCATTCCTGAAAATAACTTGAATCAGAAAGGAGAAGATCCGAATCCTGCAATAGAAAGAAATCCTAGACAAAATAGAAAAAACAAAAAAAAAAAAAATGTCTGCAACCTCATACATTTAGAATTTTAAATACATTCACAGAAGACCTAACTATGTACAACTTCAAACATCAACAATTTTTCAACGTACAATCTCTCCAACTACAATTTCCAAAAACAAAATCAAAAGCCGGTATAAAATTCCTGAGAATATGAAACTGTACAATTAATTACACAGCTTAGCAATCTCTCTGTGTAGAAATAAACAAGTCCCAAGAATCTTAAACACTCTTGCTACAGGGATCTAAACAGTCTCGTCCCAATTCAATCACCCATAATACCCATCAATACAGTATCCAAACTCCTACACCGTGAAACTCTATAAAACCAAAACTCCCAACAACCTTGTATGCCTAAAATGCCTAAGATCGACAATACCTATCCACCCAGGGATCGTCGGAGCTCAGCCGTCCCAGGTATTCTCCTGGCCGGAACTTTTTCTCTCTGTCTGTCCTCTCGACGTCAGTCGGCCGTCGAATAACACCGAACGACGACCTCCACTTACCCGAGTGCCGTTATGTTGGTGCCTCTGCATCATCAGTTGGAACTCCTCGTCGATCTTCGTGTATTTGGCTTCGGTGCGCGGAGTGAGATTGTACTCGATCGCGTCAGGCTCCGGACTTTCCGGGGACATGGCGCCCTTATGTTCCTTCTTGTTGAGTGCCTGCAAGTGTCAGCAGACAGGTTCACGTGACCACACCGCCCGAGGGCACTCAACCTTCGCATGCACGTTAATTTAAACGCCTAACGTCTCACGCACGCACACACACACGGATGACTAATGTCTAGTTATTTTTCCCTCTCTGTTCCGCACGTAGCCCGGCGTACTGGTCATTCGTGTGTATACTTTTACCATTTGCACGCTGAGAGAGGTTATGTGTGCGTTTATGGGCGTATGAAAGAGAGAGAAGGAGAGAAGATATCGCGTGTCACGCGACGATGGTCGAAGATGGATTCGTGTGGAGGATCCATGAACGACCCTGACCATTATTATGCTCGAAACAATTGGGGGACTGGGTTAGGGAGGCGTTTCAGGGGAATGGGTTAGCGAAAAGTCAGAAGTTGCAGATTTTTTAGCGGTTCACGCGAAGTAATATCGGACAACGTGTTAATTTAAAGATATTTCCTCCGACGAAGAAGTTTGAAGGATGAGCGACTGCAATTACATTCGAATATGATGTTCTAGGTTAAGTTAGGTTAAGATTCGTATTTTTAGTCCCGGAGAAAACACGAGGAATTTTTTCGTCGAATTCGAATTCCAGAAATGTGAATATTCCTTTACAATTAATGACAAATTTTGAGAAAAGAATACTCCAATTGTTTCGAGTATAATAAATTGGAAAATTCTTATAATAAATGGGAATATCGTTACATGTTTAAGAAATTTGTTCTACGTAAAAGGCAGCCTGAAACCTATCTGTCGGTCTTCTTTTTTACTCACCATATCGATTTAAATATTGCAACAAGGTTTAATTTATTATTTATATTGGCACGATAATTTCCTTCCGATCGATTGGACATACTTTTTCTAGCAATTCTATCGCTGATATACTCGAAAATCTAAGAGGAATATATTCTTACGAATATTCCCAGTGAATTCTACAAAATTTACTAATTTTATTTCAGACTTGTTACATATTAAGTAATTCCAATATTTTTTTCAACGATTTCGATTACATATATTCATTTTATCGTTGTATTAGAATTATAATATAAAAAATATTGGAAAAAAAAAAAGTAATTTTTTGTATATTACGAGCAAAAAGTTGGTGACTAGTCCGAGTGACAGACTGTTCGAAGTACAAAGAGTGCAGAAAAAAGGGTATATAAGAAATATCAATATATTCTTTATACTACCACTGAAGAAATCACCTTAATACCCGTAATAATATGAAAGCAAAAAGCAGTCAAAAGAAGTGTCCTCAAAATGAAACTTTCTTATACAGTACTTATTCCATCCTGTCATCTGTCTTTCGTTGATGCACGTTTTTTTAGTGGCATCAAGCGGACACGCAGGAGAACCAAGGGTGGTCGACCGACTCTACTAATGGACCACCCTGTATAACGCGCCTGAAAAAGAAGGCGCGCAGGAAGCAGGCTTGCCGCGCGCATGTAGATTTGCAGCATGCCCATGTGTAATTTCGATGATCGACAAACTTGAAAAAGTTAATAACCAATGATGATACGCGAGAGTATCGAGTATCGTGCAATTTTTCCTCGTGAAATCTCTCATTTACTGGTATACCAGCGATGCACGGAGTTATAGGATATACGCGCCTTCCGGCTGATACAGGTACGACGACTTGTCGCATCGATAGGGTGGAGTTATTTGAAAAATATCGGCGATTCAGTGCCGGACAAAATTCAAGGCTCTTGCGGAATCGGATAAATCTTGAAATTTGTTTTTCAGAATTCCGATGTTAGAACAGTTGCAATATCCGTTTGATATTTCGCATTATGTACCAAGTGAAATTCTTTTCTTTTTTCTGCTCTTTTCTTCTTCCGATTCGAGGATAAAGAGTTGCAAAATTTAGGGTTTCCAGTGGAACGTCTTCGAATTTAAAATTCACCGAGAAATTTTTAATCGATCGGATCGATGATTCGTAACGTGATTCTCTTCTCGTTATTTACAATAGACAATTTTTGGAAATGTTTTTGACGTTAGAAATACCTTCAAAATTGTATATTTCGCATGGAAAAGAAAATTCTTTCGTTGGTAAGAAGCGAAACCCTAAATATTAACTCTTAAGTAGAATACGAACGTTTTCTCCAATATAGAAATACATTATCAATTGAAGAACTCATTTTTACAACACCCTATATAGATATATTTAAATTTCGCGAAATTAAAGGTAAAATTCTTGTTTCTCTCTGTATCCTTAAAACATGCAGCACTCTTCTTCTGGTACAAAACGTACTTAATAAAATAAATCATAGACCACTGATAGCTGGCTGGAAAAAAAGAGAAAGCAGTTGATAAGATGTTTGGGCTATTACAAAACAGGCAAAAAAAAACAAATAATGTTTACACTTGAGTATAGAGCCACGAAGATAATTATTATTACGTCGTTGCGTAATTATACCATATGTAAATAATCATTTTTATTGGTTGATGGTAGCATTAAGATCTTGCAAAATGCCTTCCAGTCTGTTCGACAGGATCAACTAAACGACTTGAACGCTGTACAGCATCTCCTGGAACAGCCTAATCGGCCTTGGAGATGCAAAGACACGCTTCAACGTACTCTGACATATTATTTACATGAACGTAAGACAAGTTTTTTGGAACAGACGCTCATTCAGATTTAAAACACGTTCATTTTAGTCTCGAAGAAACGTTTTCATTATCTAAAATAAAAGATCATACTAGAGAGCAGCATTATGGAAAACTTTCCAGGACGGATAGTTCTTGTTTTTCAAAAGAACTGGGTTATAACGGATTTTTTGAAATACGACCATGCTTAGTATTTTATGTTCATCGTGAACATAATAAAAATGAGTTCTCCAATATTCTAAAATACTAAATTATGGTTGCCAACGAACGTATGGTAAATATTAATGTCCTTGGAATATATCAAATTCAGATTGGTACATTGATATATTTCGTAATACGACACACCATATTTACCATAAAAAGTATCGCTAGTAGATTCTAATTGTAGATCAACAAACTGGCAGTCTGAAATATTAAAATAGAAATTCAGTAAAATTTCTCCAGAAGGGAGCATTGTTGAACACCATTCTATTCGTCATAGAATAGCTAATTTCTAAGATACAACTATCTCTTTTCCTACCAATCCATCTTCTATTTTTTTCTCTAGATGATGGAGATTCGGAAATGTTGCTGGAAAGCTTGAAAATTACCGAGGAGAAATCGGCTCACCTCGATGATATTCTTGTTGGTGAGGGACTCGTGGGGTTCGTTGTACTCGGTGTACTTGAGAAGAACCTTGTCCATGTCGGTGCTCGCATACTGATACAGCTTGTTACTCGAACTGAAGATAATCAGAGCGATCTCGCAGTCGCACAGTACCGACAGCTCGTATGCCTTCTTCATTACCCCAAACTTCCTTTTGTTGAAGGTCACCTGTTGGAGGACCATCAGAAATCAATCATCTCCGTCGTTTGTCTCGACCATCTTGAATTACTCCTTAATCAATAAGACAAGCTGATGGAACTGATACGATGGTTATCTGCGATACAGTAGCGATTTTGATTATTTCTATTTTCCTTATTGTTGCTAAATGTGAAATCACGATAATAGTATAGTACGATGATTATTATTTAAATTGATACTGTGAATTATATACCGTGAGTTTAATACTTTTTAAAAATAATATCGTACATTACTCGTACTATTGCCTATTTCTATTTAATGATATTACCTGTTCCATTATTTTTTAATATTTTATTATTTAACGTATCGACAATATTACCGAGTAATATTATTATTGGTTTCGACAATTTATGTTTTCCTTAGCTGGCTACATATGATACGTTAAGTACCTGTTATGTGATAACGTTCTTTCCCTTTTTTAATGAAATATTTATGATTTCGAGTGCTTACATAATTAACGTAGACAATACTGTTTACAATACAAAATAATCTTTTCGGGATTGATATCGTTACTATCTGTATATTTAATATCGATCATATCGGTAGTTATGTTCATAGATTGGGAAAACATGTCGTGCTATATTAGAAAAACAAATTGTAATAAAAAGAATTATGAAAAGGTATTAAAATATGTATATTTATCCTGAACATTATAGTGTTAAAAGAATATTTAAAAATATAAAAGATCTCCAAGATAAGTTAAAAAATGTGCGTCTAAAATAGTGCACTTTGTTTAAATTTCTTCTGTAACAATGACAAAAAGATATTAAAATATGCATATTTATCCTAAACATCTTAATGGTAAAAGAATATTAAGAAATATAAAAATTCCAAGATAAAAAATTAAAAAATGGTCGTCTAAAATATTGCAATTTGTTTAAATTTCTCCTATTTAATTGTTCTTTGTAATAAAACCTCATAGTACCTGACGATTCCGTTCGTCCGTGATGCGCGAAATTTGAATCTTCTTCCGACCCATTTTTGCACGGCGTTGTGGAGATGGGACAGCTCTTCGGAACCACTGGATGGAATATTAAAAACACTGAAAAAAAAAATAAAAGGGAATATTATTTATTCTATATTTCTCGCAATCAATTGAAATATTAATTTTCTTTCTGTAGAAAAATTAAACGAACCGTTTCCTTTGTATGTAATATCTTTCACGAATTAAGGTTAGGATACGAAACCTTCTTCGCTGTACATCGCGTATATTTGAATGTAATATTTCTAATTTAGAAGAATACCTTTGCTAGTGATAAAAAATACCTAAAATTGCTAATGACTGTTCTTAAGTAATTCGGTATTAACGAATCACAATTTATACGAATATAACGCGAAATAAAAATTCGAACGATGTACTTGAGTTTTGACATTCTAACGATTGGCACGATGAAATTCAAGTTGAAACAGCGGCAACTTTCGAACAGCGAACAAAGGGGCACGATTTAACTGACGGTTTGAAAACAAAAAGCGCGTGCGAACCCATAGAAAACTAGAATGCAAACCGTTTGTATATTACAAGCACTTCGAAATGTGCGCGACAGAACTGGACCATGCGTTTCAAGTCTAATGCTGAAACGTGTATAAAGCACGTGTCGCATTCGTATATCGATTAACGTCGTCCGGCGAGCCAGTCAACTAACTTCGATGACACATTAAATTCGACGGAAAATAACGAACATGTCTCGTTCGCGCTTCCTCCATTGAAGCTGACTGAAGTTGCATTATCTTGCCGCCAACTTCACTTTCGATTATCGTCCCGCGAAACATTGCGCGGGTATTTTGAACGATTTATGAATGAAAGTTGCAAACATTTCTACCGTGTTCATTTTTTTCTCCAATTATTGACTTTTGTTCGACGTAAATCATCGATGACAGAATTCCAAAAGAAAAAAAGATAAAATAGATTTGTAAAAAATATTCGATAATGTAAATTCATTTTTGCTAATCGAATATATGTAGGAGTTATAAAAATCGTTTGAAAATATTTTATTTCACCGAGATTAATCGAAGTAAATTTAAAAACGGTTTATCTAGATTTCATCTCATCGCGGGAATTACTATTCACTATTAAGTAATTAACGCTATTGTGTCATCGATGATCTACGAAGTACTGAACGCGTTGAAAACTGCAGTACTCTGTATGATGTTAACCACGTTGTTTGCGAAACATTTCGTCGCAATTGAAATGCGGAATTCTATTGAAACGCGAAAATCTATCGGTTGAATACATCATAGCAGTCGAAGGGCTGATTCATTTGTCCATTAGTAATCATGACTAAATGAAAATTCTCGTTAATTCATTAACATTCAGTATACTGACCAATCCTGAATTACTTTACACTCTTTATGACGCAATTAAAACTTTCTCTTATAATTATTACTTGTAAATAATTCTCTTATAAAGCACGTTAGTCACTTTGATAAACAAATTAAGAAATACTACAAAAATACTATTTATATAATACCAATTTCTATAAATATCTTTCTATCTTGCAAAAATATCTGATTAAAATATTTTTTAACAGAAAAATATCTTTGAAGTGTTTAAAGAAGTGACGATCAATTTTCTTAAATACCATTTCTTTGGAATTAGTTAGAATCATGAGCAGAGGCAAAGATAAGATCAATTAATTGATTTAATGTAACATTTTAGCGATTGCGAAACAACAAAGTTGTAATTAACTTGCGGTTTTGATATTACTAGAATGGCACTGATAGGAGACGATGCAAGATAAAATGAAGCACTTCTGTCTCGTTCCTCTGTTACTAAAGCGAAGGTGTAGATAGCAGTAATGAATCAATTTTCGTTTAATCCGATCGAGTTAATATTCGATAACGTTTCCTATTCATTTCGCACAGCTACCGTGTTCATTAAACATGGCTTATGTAAATTGAACTGGACGTGTATGTACTAAATGCAAATGTCGAGATCATATACAAAACCTTGTCCGGGCTGTTTTACGAGATTTCAAAAATTGACACCGAATCGCTCTAAATCTGTAAAGAAAAAAATTGAAATTAAATTTAATGTCTCGAAAAGTAATTGAAATATTTTTAACCGCCATTTTGAAATTAGAAACGAGAAAAGGAAAGAAAAAAAAGGAATAAAAATTGGGAAAGAAAGATGGAGAAAGCGATAAGAATAATAAAACGAAGGTCTTTTATCGTCCCAGTAATTTTCTAAATCTTATCATCGAAATAAACAAAGCTGGGGCCATAACGTAACCTAATTTGGTCGTTCCGACAAAATCAGGATAAGGTGTACGTAATCAATTACGACGTTACTGCCATTACTACAGGGTAAATGCGTAATAAACGATCGATCGCTTTTCATTTTATCGTCGATAATTAACGTACGTAATAATCGACTTTGTCGCTCGAGTTTTCCTCAAAGTGTACAGGTACATCGAGTTACGTTGCACGAGAGCTATCTCGTGCCAATTAATGGCGGCTAACGAAGGAAAACCAGTGAACCTATTAAGAAGAAATTGCGTTCAATTCTGAACGCTTATCAACAAACATAATCAGACGGAAATCAATCAAGGTCGTCGACAAAAGAGAGAAAAAAAAGGAATTATAATTGGTTATATATCTACATACTTAAATAAATTTATAATTCGTAGATGCAATTTGCAATGTTCTTCGACTGAAGTAATTGCGGGACAAGTTTAATGGTTTGTTTTTGCTTCTATTCTTCTTTTCTTACTTTTTTTGTCTTCTCTGTCTTTTTTCAATCCCCTTCCACCTTTCGTCTGAATTATAGAGCATTATCATAATCGGCAATTGCTACGAACGTCTGTTGTAATCAACGATAAAGTTTCGCTACTATAATGTCAGCGACAGATAAGTAGAAAAAGTGAAATTACCTTTGCACCAGTCGAGATTAGATAATATATTGTGTTTCTTGAAAGGACTGTCAAGAGACTTCCATTGCCACTACTTTACTTTATCTGAAATACCGTGTACCGTAGAAAATTAATAATTACACGTGTAACCGAATCGATTAAAAATGGCGGTGAAATTTTTTTTCAAATCTTATACCTTTCGTTTTTCGAATATTCAATCGTTTCCATAAATCGACGATACTTCGTTTCAATCGATAGTAAAATGTCGTTATTTCAGGTTAGGATAGAGTAATCTCTGTTGCATTCGAATCCAAAATAATCGATATGCACTCGATACGAAAATTAGTACGTGTTCCATCTAATTATCGATTCAATTTCTCTCATATATTTTCTCTCCTGATCCGATAATCGATATACACTCGATTCGATACCACTTTTACCGATTTCACACCTTAACCTACCTTACTATTTATTTCTATTCGATAAATCGAACATGGCGGTCGATATAAGAAATTAATCGAATATTCAAAGATGGAGGAAGCTGTATTCAACTCGAACGATCGACCAGCCGCGTTCGATACCTCCCCCTTCGAGACTCAAGAATCCAAATGTTTGGACGCGCCGGCCCGGTAAAAACATAGGCTTTAACGTTGTTCTAATTCTAAGTTCCATCAACTATATTTACCGAACCCCCTTTCATTCATTCCGAGCACGCGATCTCTTGCTATATGAATTAACGCACGTTCACGGGCAAACGTTATTTTTGTCGCGCCTATCTTGTGCATCGCGAAATTATGTTGCACCGTCACCGATCATAATTATATCACACTCGTGAATCCGTCGGCTTTTGCGATCAAATCAAAGGCGATTCCAATACCGGCCCTCGCCGGCTCAACACGCGATTCGCCTTTACAAGGACGTTAAATACTAACGACGATCAAGCAATCTGATTACTTCCATGCTTTTTATACTTTTACGTTTCCCCAAGTACAGAACGACATCGAATCTTCGTCCTGTCTCTTTGGATTTACACGAAACGAATAAGAAATATACACACGAGCAATTTTGAGGTTAGGTCGCCTTGTTTGATACGGCGCGAAAGATAAGTAAGTAATTAAATATTAAATACAAGTTAAACGTAATACAAATAAGAAATGTTACTAACGATTAACCTTTTCAGAAACGAATCCATTACAACCAGTAAAAGATAATTATTCTACATTTTTACCAAAAAATTATATATACGTATTCCGCTATTGTAAAATGAGGTTAAATTTTCGTAAAGATTTTTACGTATTCAATATTCATTTACGACGCTGTTCATGGAATTGGTTGGAATATTGAGTTAATAAGAAACACAATGTATACGTACATAATACTATCTACAAATATATAAAATATTAAGCAGGAGTGAAATATCATATTGAATTTGTATGTCGCTGAAAATTCGAAGGTATTGTTTAGAACCGATAAAGTCTCTGAAAAAGATGATATAATTTCAGCCAATGTACTTACTATCATTATCTATTACAGTATGATTATCGATAAATGTAATCGTAATCGAAGCAAATTCCGTCGCGAATTTTCCATTTATTTCAAAACATAAGATAATGAAATGAATCGTTCATTCAGTGAACTCATCGCACATTTTTCCTATTGTGAAACACGGCGAATGATTATTGGCTATCGTGCGATGAAAAAAGAAGGCTTAAATGAAAAGCAATACAGGCCCAACGCTTTTCTTCGCTAGTGACAATAAAGAGAACACTCGTCGAGAGGCTAGAAGAAGAGGTTGCCGCTCGAGCTGTCGTCCGATCGAATTCGGTTTATTATACAAGAGCGTAGAACGCGAAGCGAGGGTCAGCGACCACCGCGTATTTCTCTATACACGTCGCATTTTGCACTCGCGTTCAGAAGCTATTCCCTATCGTATCGAGTAACGTCTCACTATATTACGAAGCACGAGCTTTTTATTTTCTCCGTTGGAAATAACAATCTCCGCATAATGGATTTTAGTCAGTGTTTGATTCAATTACATCTAGAGATATTCAATTCTTTTCATCTTTAATTATAATTTTTTTGCACGTTTTTCATGTATTTATATAACACTCTGATTCTACATATTTATTTTCTATTAATTAGATTGAGCTTCATATACTTGTAAATTTTGGGGGATTTTTTATTGCCTCTCATAAATATTAATTCACAATTCAGAATTTATAATCTACATTATTGATGAAACTATTACATTACTATTCTTATTTAGAACGTAATCTCTTTTTCAAAATTGGACATTGAGACTAGTGATTTTCATATCCCATTTACAATAAAAAAGATGTTCAGAAAGATATGAATACTTTGGAATCACTAATTCTAATTTATGAATATTGATTACTGTACATCATTAATCAAAGACGAAATCAAAAATTTATAATAAAAATATTATACACCAGTTACGTTTAGAATATTCTCTTAAATATAGTGTAATAAAAATTACGTGAATTTTATTTTCCACGAGTAATTATTTATTTCAAGTCGAGCCCTAACGAGTGATACCGTACGTCGATAACTAGAGGAGATTTATCACTTCGTCACTGCCAATAGGTCAGTCATACTAACATTATTTTCAATTCTATCATAAGGTAGCAGTGTAATATAACAATGTTAATTGTTGTCTAACATAAATCTGACACTAATACCATTGCGATATATAAATTGGGTTTTGATTATTATATGTTACTTAGGTCAAATTGCAGACGGGCTACTTTCATTTGGTGTACCAATTTCGATAGGAGTGCTCACACGAGCTGCGATAACATGGACTTTATCACATTTAAAGCAGTGCTCGTCACGCGTACTTAGTACATAGTATGATACGTTGAACTTTGCCAAACCGTTTCCTTCGAGTAGTTCGTCTGCAACCGAATAAACGTTATCTCGATATCGTGGCGAGTTTGATTCGCTCGTTGATCCATCATGTGATTGTATCGTTCGCAAAAAAAAGAAAAAAAAATTGTGTAAAGTAAAAAACAAAGAAATAAAACATATTTAAAAAATACAAAACTCATTTTTGGATAATTTGTATAATTTTGTGTAACGGAAAATAATAATTGGTAAGCGTTTGTAAAATAACGAATATTCATATAGGTTAAAAGTATTCTCCGTATTTAATATTTTAGGTTATACGAATTTCAGCTTTTCGTATAGCATCGTAAATTAATACGTAATATATTCGTATACATTTATACATTTGTATTGTTTTCTTATTTAAATACGGTATATTAAAATCATGGGCAATTGCAGCCAACTATTAATCAGAAAAAAACCGTTTCACATTTGAATATTGCATTTGGTAACTCACCAACTCGAAGTGAGCTCAATCAGTCGAACATCTCGACGGGTCGTTCGCCAATCGATCGATCTTCTTGCGCACAGAGAATCGATATCAAAACAAAGATGGCGAGAGATCGCACACTCTTCACAGATGTTGTTATCACAATGTAATTGGAGAAGCAATTCAGGCACTCGGTTATACGATGTTAAAAATCCACACGTTTGTTGTTTTTCAAAATTCCATGTGTCTTTTGATAGAATCTCAACTCTCGAAAGTGACTTTTCGATCGTGTTTCGACCGTAGAGAGAAATATATATCCGTCGGATTATATTTGCATTCAGATCCACTTCTTTTTCGACAAATGTTAAACTAGAGATTCACTCCATCAGTCACAGAAACAGTTTACTTCGGTACAGGCACGTTTTTCAAACTTTTGAAAACTAGCCAGCATTTAATTTTCATTCGTACGTGTACACGCAAACAACACATGCGTAGGAAATATATATATATATATATATATGTAT